GAATGCAAGTCAAAATACCGGTTTTTGATCAGCGTATCGCAATACGTATCGTTTTCATGTCTGAACCGGTAAATACCGGTAAACCGGTTATATTGCGCAGCCCTAAATATTACCACATAAATTTAAAGAAATTTTGTTAAGCTATGATGTCAGGAAAGTTATTTTATAGTTTCAAATCTCTTTTGTAAAAGGGGCGGTTGGATAGCCTAATGGTAAAAGCGTCCGCTCGTCACGCTGAAGACCCGGGTTCGATTCCACATGATTTTTGCAATGTGTGAAGCCATTTCTGGTGTCCCCGCCGTGATATTGCTGGAATATTGCTAACGGCGGCGTAAAACCATACTCACTCTTCTGTAAAATGATATCGCCCATCAGATCTTCGAGCACGCATCCTTTTATTTGAGTACACGTAAATAACGTTTTTACCCTGGAGATTAATGGAGCACCAGTTTTCCTGGGGTTCCCCAGAACGTTTAGGAAAGTGCAGTAGTAACAGCACACAATCCGGTCAGAGACTACTACATGAGATGAATGAATAGAAATGACACTGAACACTGTGAAAAACTGGTCACTGGACCGGATAGCCTGTATCGACTGATGAACGCGATATACTAACCTATATAAGCTGTCATGGAACAAGGACACATGTAACATTGAGCTGATGTCGTGTTGGTGCAGATAACCTGTCTTGTGTTCTGTGATATGTGGGGGCTGTGGGGTAGCCTAGTGGTTAAAGCGTTGGCTCGTCACGCCGAAGAGCCGGGTTCTATTCCCCACATGGGTACAATGTGTGAAGCCCATTTCTGGTGTCCCCCGCCGTGATGTTGCTGGAATATTGCTAAAAGCGGCGTAAAACCAAACTCAGTCAGTCAGTCAGTCTGTGATATGTTCTGCGGTGTCCCCATGGTCCCAAGTATGGCGATCTACCTGCAGTTGTTGGCGCCCTATAGCCCGTTTTGTATATTGTATTGTCTTTCATAGTTCAGATATTTTAGATTTTCATACTAGTTTTACAGTTATATCTGTGATATTCTAGTTACTTTTACTGTCCTTTGCCGACAGGATTTTATAATTAACCATGATGTATTATGACATTATAACTTGTTTTTGGTCACGATATGGCTAAAATATTGCCGATGTGACTAAAAAATCTTCACTCACTCACTCACTCACTCACTCACTCACTCACTCACATGTTCTGCATTCCTTACCCTACCCCATGATTCCCTGCGTTTCTTTGTTGTGTTGTTGGGTTTACCAGCTTGTAGGTTCCACACCATGGACCAGACATTCATGTTATACTCTCCGACTATTTATTTCATTGAATACCTGTATATAGCAGGTCGTAATACATATGGAGAGTTTATTGTTCTTGTAACACCTTACACCTCTAAAGTTGATATCTGAATACGAACTAAGCCAGTTGCACCACAAATCAGAGATAATTGAGGTAAGTATAAAAAGCTTAGACGTATCTGACGTAAAATTTGATACTTAATTCTTGTGTGTTTCTGCATAGAACTGCGTCCCTTAGGCGTACGAGAGACGTCTGCTGGGCCCATATGATATTTTAGGTTTGTCAACTTGTGGCTCCCAATCGCAGAACCCAACTTTCACCAGTTTGTCATCGATAACATGCTCCGTTGCAGATCACACATAAACAGTACAATCTTAATATGGCATGTATTTTTTCATCGAAGGAAAATCTAAAAGAGGAAAATTACACGAGAAAATATACTCATGGAAACGAATAAAGGAACACATGAAGTACAAGTGTTCCTTTATTTATTTCCAGAATTTCACCCACAGTGCAATACATACCTTGTGAAAAAACCTGGAAAAGAATAAAGGACACTTGTACTTTCATGTGTTCCCTTATTCGTTTCCATGAGTATATTTCATTCGTGCCACTATTAAACGTCTTAAGACATATATCCTGTATTATTGAAAATGGCACGCGTTTGGGATGCTGCAGTAGAAAGCTTGGGGTTATAATTTTGTTAAAGTGAGTGAGTGAGTTAAAATTTATAGTCACATCGGCAATATTTCAGCCATATTGATACACTCTCTCAAAAAAGAAACGCAACCCCTATCTAAATATCTGACATCATTTCTAGAATAAAGATGGTGAATGTAAATTAGAATTTTCTTCAAAATACTGTTAATACGTTCCCATCTGATCAGTATAAGCTCCCAAACGGAACCATTTTCACACATGATGACCTTTGTATCCGTGTTATTTGAGAAAGTGCGAAATTGTCATGTACAAAATGCTAAAAGCCTGTTGCACGTGCAAATCGTTGAAAACACAGTTCATGTAGAGGGTTTTAAAAGCACGCGTAGTTTGTAATTTTTCTCTCATAATTTGCTCTGCAAATCAAGTTCGAAAATGCCCCGTTTGAGTACAGCAAATCGAAATATTGCCATTGGTCGCATTGAGGCCGGGGAAAGCTTTGGAACAGTTGCCCGTCATCTAAACGTACACAAAACAACAATCTCAATGACTTTGGAATCGTTACACACAGTTCCATGCAATTGAAGATCGTCCCAGGAGCGGTAGACCTAGGATCACCACACCGGCTCAGGATCGCTTTATTCGACTCCAGCCACCTACGTAATCGGCATGCCACACCCACCATCACTGCAACACAGGTGCCAGGTTTGAGGAGAGTATCGGCCCAAACCATCAGGAACCGTTTACATGAGGCAAATTTACGTGCAAGAAGACCAGTTGTTGGGCCCGTCTTGAACGCCAACATCGACGCCAACGTCTCAGGTGGTGTACTAACGTAAGGAGATGGACCCTAAGAAACTGGAGAAGAGTCTGGTTTAGTGACGAGTCTCGTTTCTTCTTCAACGACGTGACGGTAGACAACGTGTCTATAGACGAGCAAATGAACGTTTTGCACCGAACTGCGTTCGACAGGTCGACAGATTTGGAGGAGGAAGCATCATGGTATGGGGAGCCATGTCTTACAACCAACGGTCAGACTTGGTCATCATTCGTGGCAATTTGACGGCACAACGGTACATTGATGACGTCTTACAGCCACATCTTCTGCCGATAATCGACCAACAGAGGGAGTTGTTTCAACATGACAGCTCATACAGCTCATACAGCTCGTGCAACAGTGGCATTCCTACAGAATTCAAACGTCAACGTGATGCCGTGGCCCTCCAGATCGCCAGACATCAATCCTATCGAACATCTGTGGGACCAGCTGGATCGTCGTGTTCGTGCACGTACACCACAACCGCACACGTTGGTTGAACTGGCCGCAGCACTCCAGGAAGAGTGGAGAGCAATCCCCCAGGAAAACATCCGCCGTCTGATTTGTTCTGTTCCGAGGAGGTGCACTGCTGTGATTAGAGCTCGTGGCTCTACAACGAGATACTGAAGACAACGCCCCCTAGCGTAAATTGAGAGTTCGATACTGACCTGCATTAACTGTTACCTTATACCGTGCTGACCTAAGGTTCACCATGTCAAATTTCATGGCATTATCTTTAAAAATACAAATGTAATAACCAGTTAAAATTGATATAAACATTACCAAAAAAAAAAACAGGGTTGCGTTTCTTTTTGAGAGTGTATATTACGTATTTCTACTTTATTGAAATAACAATACAAAACAGCCTCTTGTTGACATGTGAATACAAAAATAATTCGCTTATACATTATACCGATTCATCCATATTCATATGAATTCAGTCTGAACTGATAAATAGCTTTTTAACTGGATTAGTTACTGTCACCCATGCTATTTAATGTTTATGAAACAACCTATCAACGAGTGCAGAAAATTGATTTATAGAAAAATGTTAACAACATTTGCAATCAACATCATATGTAATTTTCAGTTCTAATTTTTTACCATAACTCTTAATTAGTCAGATATATTTCAACTGTGGGTTGCAGCTAGGTTAGCTGATATAGAGCTTGATAACAAAAAAAGGTAAATCAATGTGAATACGTCATAAAATGTGTATGAGGCGGTGGGGTAGCCTAATGGTTAAAGCGTTCGCTCGTCAAGCCGAAAGCCCGGGTTCGATTCCCCACATGGGTACAACGATGTGAGGCCTATGTCTGGTGTTCCCTGCCGTGCTAAAAGCGACGTAAAACCCGAATTAGACTCAACCTTACAAAAGTACTCAGAATCTTTACTTACTGAGAAAGTGTTATCTCAAATATAACATATATTACACTTGCTGAACCAGCTTCGATTCGCAGCGCAACTGTGGTTATCATGGGTGAGTAGGTTTAGTTTTACGCTGCACTCAGAAATATTCCAGCTTTATGGCGGCGGTCTGTAAATAATCGAGTGTGGACCAGACAATCCAGTGATCAACAGCATGAGCATTGATCTACGCAATTGGGAACCGATGACATGTGGCAAACTAAGCCAGCGAGCCTGACCCGATCCCAGTTGCATCTTACGACAAGCATGGGTTACTGAAGATCAATATTCTAACCCGTGGCAACCAAGCCAGCGAGCCTGACCACCCGATCCCGTTAGTCGCCTCTTACGACAAGCATGGGTTACAGAAGATCAATATTCTAACCCGGACCTTCACGGGTCGGTTATTATGAGTTAATGTCACATGACACATCCCAACTAAACGTTATACTTTTGTCGTTAGCAGCGAGATTAGATGTACAAGTCAAGTCTTTACGTTCCTTATTTTCAGCCATTAAAAAGTTAATTCATTTTACACAGTTTGGAATAAATGTAATAATATTTATGACTGGGTAGTTTCCCCTCTCTTTCAAATGCATAAGAAGATAGTGGAATTCGTCACCTGTGTTACACCATTCGCCCCTTCCCGTAACCTCCAAGGTCACTGTTCGGCTTGTTCTGGAATAACACGAGTTGGTCACGAATGATGTCACTCAACTGGCAAAGTTTCCTTAATTTAAAGGTATTGTCTTTTATATGTCTGTTTCAAGCGGTGAATAGTGATGGGATGCTCCTGACTTACTTCATTTGTATTAAATGGTGTTTAAAATTGAAACAGTCATTTATTCAATTCTGTACATGAAAACTTTGTAAATTATATCCACGACATAATCGGGATGTCCTTGATTATGAATATTGTGTGGTATCTACATGTAACTGGGATTGTGATCCTCAAGTATTCGTTTCATGGGTGTTATATATTTTTTCCCGTTAAATTATGACAAAATCGAATACATTTATTACGAAATCGGATTCCACGTTTGATTTTGCTTGCATTTGCTTTAAAAAAGATGGCACTTTTCCCGTATTGAATGTGTTCGCACCTCGCAAAGTCAGTTATCACCTTTGACTCCGGAATATGAATATAGGGATAAGAACAACGTGTACAGTCAGTGGCAAAATTTGGCCATTTTCCGTAGAATGAATGTGAGGCATTGGCCAGTTGATACATATTCATTCACTAAAGAGATTTGTATCTGAGTCCACTTCGGTTCTTCGCAGTGCAACCTTCTCGCCGTCTGTCAAGAACAGTAGTCCAACTTTCTCCAGTCGCACCCCTTTTGTTTCCGGCATGAATATCAGTATGTAAATAGCAGCAAGTAAGGCGCACCCCGCATACAGCCAGAACATACCTTGAAATAAGAGTGAGTGAGTGAGTTAAAGTTTATAGTCACAGCGGCAATATTGCAGCCATATCGCGACTAAACATAGTTATAAATTCATGATAAATACACAAATTAAAGTATTTAAGATAATTTTGCTACATGCATGGGCGCCCCCCGGATTGACATCATCCCTTCAGCCGTTGGTGATTGTAGGAGAATTTAGCCAGAAATTAAAAGCACAAATATACTAAGATTTAAAATATTTGCAGCTTAATTTACCTCGCATGTTTTGAGACTTATGTAAATCTTGAAATCAGAAATGTTACATGATGTATTGAAACATATTTTTTATGTGCACAGTGTACTCTAAGGAAAGTCTACTAGACATTTTTAATGGTTTGGAGATTTCACTAAACAAAAGCAGTGTATAATCTTACATGTTTCAAATTATAAGCCCATCTTGTTGCAAAATGGGGACGTTCATGCTCCAGATGTTGGTTTGTGTGTACGCCGCACTCAGCAATGTTCCAGCTATATGGCGGTGGTTTGAACTAATCGAGTTTGGACCAGGCAATCAAGTGATCAACAGCATGACCATCTGTCTACGCAAATGGGATACGATGACATGTGTCTACCAAGTCAGCGAGCCAGACAACCCGATCCTGTTAGTCGCTTCTTATGACAAGCATGGGTTGCTGAAGACTAAATCTAACCTGGATCTTCAAAGGTAATTCATTCTGTAAGTTTTCAGGCATTTACGTATTCCAGAAAACAAAAATGGAGGGTGTAAATCCCTGGTTGACAATGTTTCTTGGTGTCCAAGTGTTCATTAGTTTCACAAAAAGTAGAAGTTTTAGACATGAATGATGTTGGGACATACCTTCTCATAAAAGGGCATCATTTATTTTGTGTGTGTTTCACGTAGCCACAAAATTCTGAACATCGGTCGGTCGGTCGAAACAAACAGAAAACAACAAAACCCCACAACAACCTTAATAAAGACAAAATTATCTGAATAATGTTCTTGATTCTCATTTATTGTAATTCTTATTACAATTTCTCGCGTTCTTTGGACTTGTGGCAGCGACTGATTAAAAGATAAACATTTTACATGACGAGGCGGTACGTTTTAGGTTCGAGTCGGCGGTGTTGGAATGAAGAAAACAAGTTTTTTTCTGGCGTCTGCAATAAACTTAGAAGGGTCGGTGGGGCAATGAGAAACACAGAAAATAAAGTGCTGCCCTTACTAAAATACTGATCAAGTCGTTAAACCAAACTAGGGTCACTCACGACGGGAAGCCTGATATCACTTACCATATACAGTGATAGCTTCAGCCACAGTCAGAAAGGTGAAACAGACAAGGTCTGACTCATCCATATAGCTGCAGTAGCTATGGAACTACATGTGCCACGTGCCCACATAGGGAATATTTCAGCTATCACGACATAGATAACACCAACACCCTGAAACACAAATTACTCTTTTAAAACAGCCATGTAGGTTTACCATTAGAATACAATGGTCTTGAAGATAAGCAACTCACAAAATTTAAATGTTGTAGCATGTAGAGTGAGTGAGTGAGTGAGTGAGTGAAAATTTAACGTCACATCGGCAATATCTCAGCCATATCGTGACGAAAACAATTTAGACAATGAAAAATGAAAACATTTTGGAGAGTAAAACCTGTCGACGATGGACAGTAAAAATACTAGAATATCACATATATGAACATAAAACTAGCATGTCAAACTAAAAGATTTTAATTAAAGAAGACAATACAGCATATAAAACACGGGCTATAGATCGCCAACAACTGAAGGTAGATCACCATACTAGGGACCATGGGGACTTACATTACCTTTTGCTACCTGCATGGAGCCTAGCTGGATTTACACCATCCCTTCAGCCGTCGGCGATGACAGGATAATTAGCCGAAATTTAAAATAACAAAAATACTACGTTTAAAAAACTTGGAACGTGAAAATGTTACTTTGAAAGTTTGAGGACAATAATTTTGCGCTACTTCAACCCCCTTTGAGGATACAGCCACTAACAATCTAAGTTGATAATCTTTACTACCAATTATAAAACTTTACAAAACGTATATCAAAATTCATTTAACAAATCTATCGCTTTTAAAAAATCAATGATTAAATGATGATTAACTTTATTAAAAAGGTCCTTTACTGTTTTGATCTTGAAATACTTATCCCTTATGACGGAGAATTCAACACAGTGAAGCAGGACATGCTTGACCGTGGTTGTCTCATCAAAAGGGATACAAAACGGAGGATCCTCACCTCTTCAAAAAGGTATGCATGAGTATATCTTGTGTGGCCAATACGACATCGTCGCATGATGACCTCTTCAAATCTGGACTGGCAACCCAAGTAATTGTAACCAATATAGGGTTTTAATTCATGCAATTTGTTGATACCTACTTAGGCGTCCCACTTCTTTTGCATCAGACCACGGATGTAGGTTCTAATGCTAGCTTTATAATCACAGTATGGAATAAGAAGTGGTGTCACAGATTTATTGAGTGCTGCCTTGGCAGCAAGATCAGCCATTGTATTCCCAGAAATGCCAACGTGGCTGGGTAACCAACAAAAGACGATGTCGCATTGGCCAGTAGCAAGCTCATTATACAATTCAATAATTTCTAATAAAAGTGGATGTTTACAAGAAAGACTTTTAATAGCCTGAAGGCGCGAAAGAGAATTGGAAAAGATTAGGTATTGATTATATTTACGGTGTTTATTAATATATTTAAGAGCTGTTAATATGGCGTTAGCTTCTGCTGTGAAAATAGAGCTGTTATTTGGTAGTCGAGAAGATGTACCATGTAGAGAATACCATAGGTCACCAGTTAAAGGGTCATGAGCTCATCGTTTTACTGTTTACGGATACACAATAAATTTTACTAAATAAGGTGTGCATCGTTTACACAATACAGAAACTCAGAAAACAGAATAATAAATAGTACAGAAAACAAAAAAACTGATTCCTGTCACAAATTCTTTACCAGAGCCATATACAGCCAGATATAGCGAAGAACCAATCACTGGAATCCATTTATAATCACTTGGGCAGGATTGTGTCTCCAGGGTGAAGTCTGAACTGTTAAAAGAGACGGAGGAAGAGCATCTCCCCGCTGTAGCACTGCCGTTTACCGACAAGGGTACACACGAGGCTCTTGAGAGTACGTCGTAGCAGAAGCCACATTGTGAAGAGTCGATGCATTGCTCACATGTTCTAAAAAGATATATATATGTTGACATAGTAAAGATGTAATGGCTTTTGTCCTTGTGACTATGGAGATGAAATATACTGTTTTCATGTGCACCTGCTAATTGTAATAAATGCAGTTATTATCAAAAATGACTACGGTAGCAACATGTGTGACAAGAATCTGCTCAGTTAGCGAAACAATGCCATAACGGCATATATGTAAGGGGGGAAAATATAGTCAAGTTGAATAAGGACTAGAGAAAACTATAATATATACTAGGCGTCATTAATAAAGGGTCAAACGATATATAGCACATGCAAAGTGAGTAAATGAGTTTAGTTTTTCGCCGCACTCAGCAATATTCCAGCTATATGGTGGCGGTCTGTAAATAATCGAGTCTGGACCAGACAATCCAGTGATCAACAGCATGAAAATCGATCTGCGCAACTGGGAACCGATGACATGTGGCAACCAACCCAGCGAGCCTGACCACCCGATCCCGTTAGTCGCCTCTTACGACAAGCATGGGTTACTGAAGGTTCATTCTAACCTGGACCTTCACGGGTAGCACATGTAAAGAATAATAGAATTAATAAATAATAGAACTAAGAGTGTCACCACAATGTTTAATGTGTTGAAAAACGTGACACATCGTGACATACAGACAAAAAGTTCAAACAGCACTAGCAAACATCAATTGAATAGACCAACCCCCCAAAATGAAAATAACAAACATGAAGCACTCGGTCATATAATATCTTTTGTACCCTCCTCGCGCGTCCAAGAAATAGGTGCACTTTGTTCTCATGTTCCTTATCAAGTTCATAAAGAAGGCTTGCGGAATCGCATTCCATTCCTCTACTAGAAAATGCGGAGTCCTGGGAGACGTGTGTACACACGTCGACGGAGTTCATCCCAGCGTGCTCAATAGGGTTGAGGTCTGGCAAGCATCCTGGCCACTCCATCCACTCTACACCCTGCTACCTAAGGAATTCCGTGACAATCCTGGCCCTATGAGGCCTAGCGTTGTCTTGCAGTAATGAGGGTCGACCATGAAAGCCATGCTTAGCTTGCAGGAATGGTACTGCTACAGGAGCCAGGATCTCGTCCCGATAACGCTGTCCGGTAAGACTACGTGCAGTGGAGTACGTCTAGTAGGAGTTATCCCTGCCCAAACGGTGAAAGACCCCCTGCCAAATCGGTTATGCGTGGCCAAAGTTGCATCTGTGATTCGCTCTCCATTGCGACGATAAATCTGCCGACCCTCATGGAAGGACATATTGAATCTGCTTTCATCTGTGAATTTGACCACATAAGACCATTGACGTTGATTAGAGCGGCCATGATGTCTACTCCATTTCAAACGCGCCTGCCTGTGACGTGGTGTTAGTGGTGGAACGAACTGCAGGTCGCCTACAGCGGAGTCCTGCTTCCCTAAACGTCGACGAACGGTGCTCCTGGATATCCTTACATTGTTAACATTGAAGTGTTCTGTCTGAAGATCTGCTGCGTTAAGGAACCTCTGGGGCGACCTGGTCGACGTGGTTATTCTACCCACCCATTGGTTTGAAATACCACCAACAGCACTCTGACTCTCATTAAAGCGGACAGCAACCTGCTGCTGAGTTTGCCCAGATTCCAGAAGGCCTATAGCCTGACCCATTTCAACAAGTGTCCGAAAACGTCTCATTTTAAGCTGCGATTTCAAACAGGTACCTGAACAGTGAACGACAGTGAAAAAGCATCAATGCATATGTATTGTCCTTCACTTTCCATGGAAATCATTGACATTAAGTGGCAGGTGGATTTCCACATTGACAATTTGAAACGAAAATGTGCCATTTGTAACAGAATGTATCGGACGTTAAAGAACGTAATAATGACAACGGCCTGTGTGTTTTTCCATAATGTTAAGAAAGTTTGTAAAACATTTAGTTGTATATATTTCAAACAAAAACGAAGATTTAACATCCTTTGAGAAATAGTGTTACCAATAGCTTGACCCTTCATTAATGATGCCGACTATACTTCACTCCATGAAGATCCTGGTTACAATTGGTCTTCAGTAATTCATGCTTGTCAAACAACGTGATCCGGTGGTTATGGCTCGCTTTAGTATACTAATTTACATATGACTGCAATGCAGGGCAAGGCAACACTTTTGTTACCATCTTGTAGAAGTGTTTAGTGTATAATGCAGTGTTTCCGAATATATGTACTCATTTGTGTAACAGTTTATACTGAATGTTCTCTCAAATCCTGTTATGCATTTGATTCCCGAAACCGCGAATTCTGCCTTGGCACTTGTTATCTGAGTTTCATGTTAACATGAAACTATGTCGCTATGTACTCCCTCACAAAAGTTAAGCAACACAAATATTTAGTCTCATTACATTTTCATTTATTGAAATAGCAAATCGTGGAATGATGCAATAGAAAGGTGAAAGATGTATACACACGATTAACAAAATGAAATGAAAGGGTATTGAGCAATAATAGACTTACAAATCATCAAAAGCGTGTACCTGTGAAAAAGTCGTGCAAAATGTGCTGCATTGATGGAGCAAAATGTTAACATTAAGGTTCAAGTCAGTTTTGAACAGTGAAGCAGTGTTCAGTAACGCGAATGACCACCATGAGCACAAATGCAACCTTCTACACGTCTACGCATTAACCAAATGAGCCTTTAAAGTTGCTGTTGTGGAATGTTCTGCCATTCTCTCTGTAACGCCTGCTCAAGGTCATCCAGAGTCTTGGGCGAACATGGAGACCATAAACACGACTTCCAATAATGTCCCAAGCATGTTCAATTGGATTAAGATCAAGTGACTTTGCAGGCCAGTCCATATGTGTGATGTTGTTGATCTAAACAACATCGTTAGCAACTCTTTCTTAGGCATTATCATCCATAAAAATGAAGTTAGGACCCGCTTGTTGCACCAGAGGATTGATTACATGTAGGTTTACACCGATCAGGGTGCATGTGCGAAGAATGGAGCACATTCATGCCACACATTTTGCATGTTGTTTCTGATGGTGGTTGTGTTCGGGTGATGTTATTAATGTTATCAGATAAATCAATTTGACAGTCACTAAAGGTTATGTATTCTTTGAATATTTACCTTTCAGTAACATGTCGCCAAAAATCGCTATCTAGATTGATAAAGATATTACATTGAAAATACTTGTTGCTTAATTTTTTTTTATGAGTATATTTTTTATACAAGTGCCTGTTTAAGCTTGTAATGGCAGTTCTCAAATAGAATTGTTTCGCTGTTTCTTTGCTGTTTAGGGTGAGGTGAGATGAAATAGGGTTTAACGTCGCACTTAAGAATATTTCGCTCATATGACGACGTGCATGCGTGTGTATGTGTGGCTGCTTGTACTAGCCCAGACTTAAGCTGGTTTTATAGTGCTATAGCTCACTGAGATACCATGCAGCAGTTAAGCATGAATATCCCATTCAGACACATTATACTGACTCCGAGCCGACCAGTCCTTGTTGTACCCCTTAATGCCGAGTGCCAGGCAGGGACCAACAAGTGCCATATTTTAACGTCTCTTGGTATGACGCGGCCGGGGATCAAACCCGCGACCTTCCGCTCTCCGGGCGGACGCTCTAACCACTACACCACGGAGGCGGTCTTGCTGTTTAAGACCGCTGTCAGCAATATGACAGATATATTCCGGAGGGCTGTAAATAATATTCGAGTTTGTACTTGACAATCCAGTGGTCAACAACCGCAACATTCGACAAGCACGGGTTGCTGAAGACCAATTCTAACCCGCGTCTTTACCGGTACTAAACCAGAATTGACTTAGAAAGAGAATGTCATCCGCAAAGTAGATTTTGAATAAATGTATCATTCAGACTCATTACCTGAAATTACACATGGGTGTAGACGTAGCGTTATTGATGGCTATCTGAATGTCATCGCTGACAGCGGGAGAATTAGTTGCTGAGAGGAAGAAACCAAGTCCAAGAATAACCAAGGCAATCAACTGACCTAGTGACAACAGAATACAGCAATTATTGATATTAGTTGCCACAACACTCTCATGTCTTCACGATTGAAAATACGGTTAATACTTTTCATCGAGTTAAACAAAGACGAGTTAAACAGTACATAGTATTCCCAGAAATTATTGAGAAAATCTTTGTTTCCTAATACTGATAATAGGATTTTAAAATAGGTGTTACATTATGTGGTAAGGTACTCAATATGGGAGGCAAGTCTTGTAGGCTTATGAATTTTCCTTATTACATCAAGAGTTATCTCCCCTGGTGTAGCAGACGGCTTCCTTTGTTGACATGACAGATTTGACCGCAGAAGAGAAAAGAAAGCTGGTTCTAGATGATTTTGAGTAGGGTGTGACTAATGCAAAAGAGTTAGCTGGTAGACATGACATTCCTCTGTCTACAGTATACAGAACTTTGAAGATTATTCAGTAAGGAGTTGGGAGTGAGCACAAGACAGGGACAGGGAGGCCAAGGAAGTTCAGTACTACGGATCGCCGGTGATTTGGTGAGATTGTGAGTGGGGGAAAATTAAAAAACCGTTGAGAATATCAGACATGAGATGATTAAAAGAGGAAGTCCTCAGGTATTTAATGACAGCCTTAGACAAGAATTACAAAGACTTAACTGGGTGAAAATGCGCGGAATTCCCTCTGGGTGAAAAAGCGCGGAATTCCCTCACCATTAATGAAAGATGCACAGAAAGCAAGACGTTTAAACTACTGTATGGCTCACGAAAATCAAGATTGGGATAATGTTTTCTTTTCTGATGAAAGTTCGGTCTGGCTTTTTTCCGAACTGTGTGGAACTTTGGACAAAGACACCGTGAAGCCTATCTACCAAAACATAGCCCGTAATTTCACACGTGGGCTGGGATATCGTCACGTGGAGTGACAACGTTGTGCATTTTCACTGGAAATTTGACGAATGAACGATATGTTGACATATTAATTGGTCACCTCCTTCCAACGGCCCGAACACTGTATGAAGATAATTGGAGCTTCCAGCATGATAACGACCCAAAACACACTGCGGGCGACACAAAACAGTGGTTGTCGGACGAAAATGTTCAAGTTTTAGACTGGCCCAGCAACAGCCCTGATCTTAACCCTATTGAGAATGTGTGGGGACTAATGAAGGACAGAATAAACCAAAAAGGACTTAGAAATATAGAGGATATAAAGAAAGAAATGGTCGAATACTGGGATACGCTGCCACACGAATTCCTACAAACTTTGATCAGTAGTGTACCTAGGTCAGTCATGCATTGCAGGGCAAGGAGGTCTCACAAAGTACTGAACAGACACTTAGACTGTAAGAGAATCAGTAAAACTTCTAAAGTTTATATATACTGAGTCAAAAAAGAAACTTCACATTCTTTCTTTAGGGCACTATAAAAGAACAAGAGATGGTTAAATTGTTATTATTTCATTGCTGAGATCTGTGTAGTGTACTCGATACACTGACAGTGCCATAATCAGTTCCATTAGGCAACCTCGCCGTTCCAAAACATGGGTATACAGAATGTCAAGTCACAAGAATAAAAATGCGAAATTTCTCAGTTCAATATCGTGTATGGCCGCCCCGCGCATTCACCACTGCCAAACACCGTCTCCTCATCGACTGCCTGATGCTTGTGAACACGTGGTTGGGGATTCTGCGCCATTGCTCTTGCAAGGCAGCGCCACGTTCTTGCAAATTCTGACCACGAAGCCTTCTCCCAAAGTGCATCCCAAACGTGCTCTATTGGATTAAGGTCAGGGGACCTCAATGGCCAGTCCATGACGTTGATTCCAGCATTTTGAAGGAAATTTCGTGTCAACATCGCGGTATGCGGCCGAGCATTATCATGCTGGAACTGTAGACCTGAGCCATGAGCCGCCATGAACGGAACGAGTTCAGGGGTGAGCACCTGGTCGCGGTAAGAAGCAGCTGTGAGGTTTCCACGGATGATCAGAAGTCGGGAATGGTTGTTCCCACAGAAAGCACCCCACACCATGCAACTTCCGGCCCCGAATCTGTCGACTTCCTGTACACAACATTGGGAAACCGTTCACGACGTCGTCTCCAGACTCAATGCCTGCCGTCCGCGAATCTGAGGGTAAACCTGGATTCATCGCTAAAGACGACTCGATTCCAGTCTCTCTGGGTCCATCGGAGGTGACGTTGGGCCCACAGCAGACGTTGACGTTGATGAAACGGCGTCAATATTGGCCCAAGATATGGACGTCGAGAATGGAGATTGGCAGCCCGCAACCGATTTCGAATGGTCTGTGAGGACAGTCGACCTCTAAACATCTCAGCCCTGGTTCGTGTAGCCGGCAGAAATCTGTCACGTAGGTGACGTAGGACGATTTGACGGTCTTCTGCTCGTGACGACCCGACCTTGTGCGATCAGAAGTGGTGCCAGTTTGGTGTAGACGACCTCGCAAGTCATACACAGTACGACGGCTGCATCCCGTTGCTCTTGCGACGTCAATAACTGATCTTCCCGCTTGCAACATGCCAACGGCACGTTCACGTTGCACATTTGAAAATCGTGGCATTTCAAGTACCGTTAGAACTGTGGTTAAAAAGTGTTTTTTCAATTCTTGAGGCCAATGCGAACACGTGCATTTGAAGAAAACTTCGATGCGAAGATCACGTGATCGACTGCACGTGCAAAACCTGATTTGGCACTAACGTCATTTGCACGACGAATGGATGGGTTTGAGTGGGTTTTGCTAACTTTTTTTAGAGTCGAAAGATAGGGATCCCATTTCGGATACATAGATGTATCATCAGAGAAAAATTATTCATTATTTTTCAAATTACATTTTGTGAAGTTTCTTTTTTGACTCAGTATACATGTATTAGATATTTGCCGAAACAACTTTCTCAATAATTCCAGGAAATATTGTATATGAATATGTAACAAACGGATACAAACTTAAGACGACACGGACCTATATTTATACATCTGACAAAGACAGCAAAACGTGCATGGTTATGTCTCAGATCTGCAAAACTGCTAACTGTCTTGACACGCCGCTTACTGATGCACACACACACGGACTGACCTATTTGGGCTCCAAGATACAGATGTTTCCGGCCAAATCTCTCAATCAAGCACGTAACGGCGAAAGATGACACAGCCATTATTACACTAGGTATTGTAGTCATCCATATTGCACGTGCTCCGCTGAATCCTGCTCTTCTGAATATTATCCCCGAGTAGAATCTACAAAAACAAAATTCTCTTAGGTTATAAATTTCCATATTGTCATGTAAATCTCAAGTAGAAATTTTGCTCAAAGACCTCAACTTTTAAATACATCGGGAGGTAATTGAATTCATATTGATTAAGTCATCACAAAATTACTTACATGATTGTCGCCACACCTGTGATCTGTGTTATCATAGCCAGACCAATTCCAAGTATCAATGCTCTACGGACAGGCGGAGTTTTCATCACCCGAGCAATGATAGAGGAACCGTCCCCTGTGCAGCAGTAAAAGATGTATCTTTTTACCTTTGACTTTAACGCCTATTTCTATTTCTATGTTTGTCTCATATTTGGAATTAAGTGGCAAAAGAAACATAATGAGAAAGTGCAGATACTGACCTCTTTGAGTGGCTGTTCTGGCGCCTTCGACTTTATTTACTAGTATATATATATATACAACATATGCAAGCAGAATGTTTCACAATATGTTCAACGATAAAATGGATTAGATATGTCAACAACATTTCAAGCGTTGGGGTTTGTACAGATACATCATACATGTACATGACACAGGGTTTTACGCCTGTTGAGGTAAGGATGCCTCGGATATTTACAAACCATCTTTATGCCATCATTGAATCTTCACTTTCAAGAAAGTTTATATGATGTTTCAATGATTAACATATACTATTTTATTACAAGAAATGCACACACAAATATACTGAACCACAAAAGAAACGTCACTTTTCAAAACCAAATGCCAAATTTGTTCTTGCAAGGTGGTGTTTTTATTATGATTGCACCGTTTTGTTAACATGTTTTTCAATCAAAATTGACATTCATTACCAACATCTGTGTGTTTTCTGATGAAAAAGCATATCGACCAAACGCACCGGAAGAGGCAGACATGGTACAAGGTTCCGTATGACATTCATGAAAATGAAAATGAACGTGCATGTCGTGACAACCCTACCAATGAAAGTGAGTACCAAACTCGCCTGAAATCATTTTTGTTTTGACACAAACACCATGCCAAGACTTACGAGAGACCAGAGGAACAATGTCTTGGGACGATTGCATGCACGGAGGGTAGCCAATCATTTTTATGTTCATGTTAACACAATCTACCGACTGCAGGAGTGGTATCAGGTCAGTAACAGCATCCAAGATCGTCCACGCAGTGGGCGACATTCAGTATTCAGTAACATCGCAACGTCAAGACAGACAGATTGTGGGCCACCATCTTCATGATCGCTTCCCCAGAGCGACGGAAACCGCACGCCATACTATTGGGACTAACAAGACCCTATCGTAGTCCTGTCCTCACCGCTCATCGTCGCCGAAACCGGCTGCAATGGGCAGCTCAGCATCAAAATTGGCGTTATCGACAATGGAGAACTGTGCTGTTTATCCCATGAAAGCCGATATTTTGTTTCGACAGTCGATGGCAGAGTGAGAGTATGGTGAAGGCGTGGGAAACTGTCTTCCAATGAGTGGATTCATGAAAGGGACTCGTGGGGTGGTCCAAGCATCATAGTGTGGGGTGCAATCGGTCTGAAACAGTAAGCTGACACCGTGGTGTTCCAGAATCTTGGTCCAGGATGAAGAAATAACGTGACAGCTGCACGCTATATTGATTAAGTCATAAGACCCCACGTTGTACCACATTTTGGACGTTACAGAAATCACATCTTCCAGCAAGACAACGGTCGTGCCCACACTGCTAAAGCAACATTGGACTTCCTAAGACAACGTGGCATCCAAACCCTACAATAGCTTGCACTCGGTCCGGATTTAAGTCCAATAAAACACCTTTGGGACGAAATTCAAAGAAAGACTGAATGGCCTCCAACCAAGGCCGTCAATTGCGACTGCACTCGATCAGGCATTTTGCAGAGTGTGGACTCATGTGCCTAGAGCCTTCATCAACCGGCTAATTCATTCCATGTACAGACGATGCAACGCTTTCATCGATGCCCATGGAGGCCCCACACGATACTGACTTTGGGGTATCTTAATAGTACCATTTTTGGTGATTTTGTTTGCGTGAACACTAAATGTGATTCCAGAAAATGTGTTGACCATAATTGTCAAGTTTGAACTCAGTCCTCCGTTTTGATTGTTAATTAGAGGGAATTAAAGTGTGTGCTTTGAGAAACCGCTATCAGTGCGACATTTCTTTTGTGGTTCAGTATATAATGAGAATATAATGCACACAAAGACCTCTTTATCGTGCCTTCGACTCTATGTACAATATATACGACGTTTTCAAGCAGAATTTCACAGTTTAATAAACATACCTCCATTAATGTGGGATATTGTGTGTGATGTCAACTCCTTAAGCATTATTAAAAAGCTTTTTCACAAAAACATTAAAGTATGGAACAAGTTTTTATGGATAACAACTTCTTTATTTCGTGAGTGCGACGTTTCGATACAGATTCTTGTACCGTTGTCAAGCAAGAGTGATACATGAAGTGGAGGAGCTGCATATTTATACTGTGTATAACAATGAAACTACATACATTGTAATTGACAAAGGAAACAACATAATTGCCATAATTGGTTAAGCAGTAAGCTGATGAAGCCAGTGAGTACACAAAGGATAGTGAATGGAAGCCAGAGATGTATAAATGCAGGAGTGGTACAATGAAGGAGATGTTTATACCATAGTTGCGATGTTTTTACAATAGATTGGGCTTGGTGGAGGAGTGGATCATACGCTGATGGAATGAAGTATCCTTGGTCACGGTTGATGGTGGGTTTATGGCGTTTGATGTGAATGGCTTCGGACTTCACTAAACGCAAGCTCACCGAAGCCATTCACATCAAACGCCAAATGTATGTAGTTTCATTGTTATACACAGTATAAATATGCAGCTCCTCCACTTCATGTATCACTCGTGCTTGACAACGGTACAAGAATCTGTATCGAAACGTCGCACTCACGAAATAAAGAAGTTGTTATCCATAAAAACCTGTTCCATATTGTACGTCTCAACTTCTAAAATGCCACTCAAACAAGTTAACATTAAAGTTAAACTTCTACTTTGAGAGTTCTTTCGAAGTGAGAACATCTAAGAATCTTAGAAACGAAACTGAAAGAACGAAAGAAACTACGATTGGTCGAATTAATTGACAAATGCGTCACTGTTTAGGGAACAGATTCACAGACCTTCCGTGAAAATCTTCAGGTTTTGACAGAATTAGTATTTTTTCTGCAAGAGTCTAAAGAGTCTGCAAGGTTCCTAAATTGGAACCCTTTAAACATTCAGAATGTTCATTACATTCTCGATTCCATTCTTGTTAAAAAATACCAGATCACTCGGTTTATAAATACGGAAGAGTTATTGTTGAGCTATTTATATAATAGGCTTTTCTCCACTTTCTGAGACCTAGGTACTTCTTATATTACTAGCGTATGTTTACTACTGGAATAAAGTAACTCTGCATTATTTGATGTTAGGACTTTTAATGCAAAAAGATAATATGTGACAGATGTGGTCATTCCTATACCAGAATATGGTGGCTCGTAGGCCAGTCTTGTGATATCAACATCCACATGTGAAAAATGTCACTGTCTCCAATCTCGCTCATTTCTTGTTGAATGTGTGTTGAGACAGCAACACATGCCTGTGCTTGGGTTAATGTAGTTTGTAAATGTCCCTGTCCCTGTCAAACACAGTCAGGTGTGCGAGTTGTACATGTGAAATTGAAATTTGACTGCACGCGCTTGTTGATTACCTGGCTGATCTACCAGCAAGTGGTCCCCCCGTCGTAGGAAATAGCGACCAGTGACAACAAAATGATGATCGTTTGTTAAACGTTTTGATTCGGGTGTCCAAAATTATGAGACAAATCATCAGAGTTGGTCTGTCTATTTCATGTGACTGTGCAAAATTTGGTTTTGTTGTAAGTAATAGATTTTGTGTTAGTGAGCAATTCATCGGTCACACATGTAGCTTTAATATTTACTTTATTTTTTGATAATGCGAAGTTAAGTCAATGATATTCCGGTGTTCAGCCTCTCATGTTTGATGTCACATTTTGACTAAAATGACGACACTGACAATATCAACAAAACGTTTAAAAAACCCAACCTTTATGACGTTTCAACTGTTTTCCTTCTGCAACACTTTTCTTCATGTCATCGAGTTCCTTGGTGATTTCATCCGGGTTACTCCTCAGTTGCTTGAGGACAGCTTCTGCTTCTTCCTCTCTTCCTCTGTCCATGAACCACCGGGGACTCTCGGGAAGGAAGAGGAATCCCACAAAGTGTACAACGTCGATAGCGCAGGAACAAGCAAACATCCATCTTTGGAGAACAGTAAAAAATCTCTTTATTGATGCAACTTTTCATTATTAAAAATTTCCGTGAATAAAGTTAGCGGCGACTAAACTTAGCGAGTTCACGGCTTGAATTGGGACGAGTCGATTGTCATACAGTAGGGGAGATCAATAATTCGCTTGAGAAAAATCAAATAATTGTACTTGCGCACAGTATAAACTGTAATTTTTTTATTTATGCATGCTACTTGTTGCAAATACAAGCGTACTGGTTCCTGAAATAAAGCATTTATGTTGTTGAAAATGTCTTATTTTGTTCATTACATAATCTGTCCCTCAACGGGACGATTCCGAGCTTTTTCCAATAAAAAGACCCCTTCACGCCTTGTGTTCTTGCGCGCCAAACAGATCGGTTTTTAAACGCTTATCAGTCGTACGGTTTTAAAACGCTTATCAGTCGTGCTAGAATGAAGATTATAATAAGACCGCTAACTGTTAAATTTAGCGGTCTTAAATCAACGATAAAGGATCGCAAAATTGAAAACAGAGTAGCTTTATCTTCTAATTACAATATAATCTATGTTACACCAGATAGTTGCAATGGCATTCCTAATATGTTTATTAACATGAAAACATATAGCACTGAGCTGACATTTATTCAGTCCTGAGGAAAACGTACTCACCTCCATGCTTCTGCCCCCATTCCGCTGAAAGCGCCTGCTACAATTGATGACAGGAACACACCCACAGAAATTAAACACTGTGTTAAACTTCCCAGACTCCCTCTGATGTCCACGGGGGCACATTCCGATATGTACATCGGCACCACGAGGGATATAGCTCCTGTAACATATATTATTGCAGCTGCTATATGTATTTATATATGTTTACGTGTTGGCATGGTCACGTATCTTGATGCTATGTTCAATTAGGTTCAATAAGATAAGGTTTTCTTTGGCAGCGTTAAAAAGGTCAAGGTCTTTATAATTAATGGTTGGAGTGGTTAACCTTTACCATATTCGATACAGTATCTAGTTTGTCTTATTTGTTCCCTTCTTAGCAGAATGATTATAGCTATTACAGGACGACTTCGTACACTTCAGACAATGTGTTCGAAAACACATTCAGTGTCTTTAGCAAAGCTTAATTTATCGTGATTCTGATGAGATTAGGCAACAAATATGTTCTTCTGACAAAAATATGGGCTTGCTAATATCACAACATTTATCAAAGAATGAGATAAACTTGTAATCATACAGATTACATTATGAATATATGCTAAAACAGAAGCATGTTACCTCCTCCCAATCCTGCCACGAATCGTCCAACGAGAACCACCTCTTTCGTCGGAGCTGCTGCTGATATGACGGCGCCAATACACACCAACGCATTTGACGCAAGGATCATCTTTTTCCTTCCAAATATTTGGACAGGATACCCAGTTAGAAAAGGTGCAAATGCGCATCCCGCGGTATTGGATGTTGCTATTAATTGCTGCCACAACGTGTCAAGTTGATAGGTATCAACTAGGAATAACATGGCCCCCGAAATAATTGCTTGGTTGTAACCTATCAGAAGGGCTAGAACTGATGCAAACAGTGTCGAGATGTAGACCATCCACGGGTGGCTTTCTGGTGATGTCCTTGTGCTATCCATAGCCATTTCGTTTCAGTCCGTTTTCTTTTTAATCCTTTTCTGTTCCGCCGAACCTATCAGAATTTAGATTTGCAAGTAGACCAAGAGGGAAAAAAGTATCCTAGCTCATATAAGATGTTATTTTACAGATAGTCAATGTGTCTTAGGCAAGCATCTCCTTGGACCGAAGACGATATAGATGTCAGGACCTTTATATGCAGGCCACACCTTTCCTATCATTTCCAGACGGTTCTGGAGTATACATGTGTACAAGCCTACCTCAAGCTGAAACCACATTAAACTTGCTAGGCTCAAGATAACATGATAATAACATAAATTTCATATGGATTTTATATGCACTTCCTGTTAATGACACTAATGTGTGGGTGAGTGATTGACTTTAGTTTTACACCGCTTTTAGAAATATTCCAGCAATATCAGGGCAGGGAACACCAGAAAAGGGCTTTACATATTGTTCCTATGTGAGGAATCGAACTCGGATCTTCGGCGTGATATGCGAACGCTTTAACCACAAGGCTTCCCCACTGCCGTCCGATGTGAAAAGACCTGTCTGATATTAAAACAAATCCCTCTGGCAATATACATTATTTTCCAGTTTTTGAACCTTGACCATGACACGACTGAAGGTTGTTTTAAATATAGAACACCAGGACAAAAGAACACCCACTCTTGCCTATCCTCAGAAACAAACCCCGGTGTAAAGGAAAAACCAGCTGTGAACATTATATGAATGGCTGCAACTGAACAACAGACGTCCGCCAAAAAGGGTATGCATGTCCTGCACAACCCGCACCCACAAAACCCGACCAATAGTTGAAGTATTCTTTACCCGACGACTCACAGCAGCAAACCCGCCAAGCGACGGCGGCCCGCAAACAAACTAGATAACCTAGTAATCCATGAAGCGGAAAATCCAGTCAGACAATTCCCAAACACGACTGCCGTGCAGAAGCACAGATATCTCGATGTGCACAAATATAGAAAAAAATTTGAATACAGATTAGTTTCACAGCACGTAAGGGGTCAGTTTAATGCCTCGGTCCAAACATTTCCTCAGGATTACTAAAACGTTTATACTTGATATGGTATCCTCGATAAAACAGAAAGCACAGAAAAAACTAATGATCGTGCTTATTCTCCAATAAATTGAGTCTGTATTTGCTTTTCAAAAATACTTTAAATTTAATGAAAATGCGACGCAAAGTGAGTATTGAAGAGCTGGTGTGTCGATGTTCGCCTCTCATTAGATTGGTTGGTTGGTTGGTTGTTTAACGCAATATTACAGCTATATGGCGGTTGTCTGTAAATAATCGAATCTGGACCAGACAGTCCAGTGATAACCAGAATGAACATAGATCTACGAAATTGGGATACGATGACATGTGTCAACCAAGTCAGCGAGCCTGAAACCCGATCCCGTTAGTCGCCTCATACGACAAGCATGGGTTGCTGAAGATCAATTCCAACCCGGATCTTCACGGGTCTCAAAAACAGAGTGCACAGGAAAACCTAATGATCGTGCTTATTCTGAAATAAATGCATTTGCGTTTCACAAACACTTTGATGATGGTGTGATGACAACGGTGTATTGAGGATAGTCTGCACACGTTTCTCTTTCATGATACAATGGATATAAATATTTAGTAGCTACAACAGATCATGTACTATTTTATACTACTTTGATCAGAAGGTTCGCCGGTGTATGAGAGTGCTGCAAATGTGCCTGTGCTAAGATCATATTAAAGAATAGGAAAATGACGTTTGGAGTTTAAGATCTAACGCTGTAATTGTCCTGGCAGATAAACATGCTAACGTTACAGAATACGTCTCTTTACAACACACTTAGATGAGGCTGTTACCCACCTTGATCGGATGCAAACTATTCCGTCTACCTTTGGATGTTGTCTGTATGAAGAGTTCGAGGCGCCAGCAACAACAGTGAAGTTGCATAGTATTCACCTTTGTTCTCGATTTAATACTATTGTCAAGCACACAGTCTAGTTTGTGCACGTTTCCCCTTGGGCTGCTCGATTTCTGTAACCTGATACAATGCAAGCTGTAAAACGTTTCCAACAAACGACTGTGCAACTGCATTTATGTAAATAAACCTACTTCCAAGCTACGCAACGTGAATATAACCTTTTAATATGAATATAAGCCGATTTCATCATATTCCGATGCGATTCACTATATTTGACATGTATACGATGTTCCTGTCATCTTTCTGCATGACTTGGAAGTTCTTTACGTAGGTCGATGCTCATTATATCAATAACTCGACTGTCTGGTCCAGACTCGATTACTCGAGAGGGAGAGATTTGAAATTTGGATATTAAATCGACAAGATTACTTTTATGTGATTTTACATTATAAGTATGTGTATATTTTTTATTTTTCCTTAATGGTAGTATATTTGTACGTGTAAGTTGTAGTTTGGTTGCTTGCGATCCCCTGACCCTTTTTTATATTGTAACTGTCAAGTGATAGTTAATATTTTACAGGCTCAAACATATTTAAAAATATGATATATACTACAAACAAAAAGTATGCGAACAAACGTTGCCACAAGCTGCATGGAAAGTCTGTCTTCAACGTGCCCTAGGCTGTTTGAATCAAACATGGTGCTGGTGTGTTTCAGCACCCTTGTTTTTCGCTGTTTTTGACAATGTTTCATATCACTCAAACTCAACGAATATTGAATCAGTTGCTTCAGTGCATGTTCCAACATGACGTTTAAAGTACTCACTAAGCACACAAAATGTTGCATTTGCCTTAGGAGTATAAATGATCTCACCACGTTTAAGGTTATATATGACTATCATATTTTAGGATGTTCGACTCATTTTCGAGTGTGTAGATCTTGAAAATACAGTAAATTAGGTAAATTGAGGTTTACTTACTGAAATATATTTTGCAACTTCCAGGTGTTTTAGCATTGCAGTGGTGGAAAATGTAAGCAATTCAATTGCTCTTCAGCTGCAATATTGCTGAGTGCGGCGTAAAACTAAACTCACTCTTCTGCTACAACATTGCAGTGGGGTTACCTGGTGGTTAAAGCGTCCGCTTGTAACGCTGAAGGGCCAGGTTCCCTTCACCACATGGGCACAATGTCTGAAGCGTATTTCTGGTGTCCCCCGATATTGGTGGAAAATTGCTAAAAGCGACGTCAAACCGTACTCAGACTCTCGTTCTGGAAATTCCAGCTCAGGGGTAGATGTGTCATCTAAGGCACATGGGTCTCGTCAAACCAGGTGTATTAGTACAATAGATGAAAACTATTATATCTTAATCATATGATAATAATCAAATGTCAGTGTCAACCTGCAGTGAATGAACAAAATGTATTTATAATGTGCTAAACAGGTTCATTTAGGCTGTAGGGCCGCACCAATGCTAATGGTGAACACGATACACATTTGTTACCCACTCGTGTTATTTGTATTTTGCAGATGTAAAAAAATTGCAGTGGTGTGAGGTGTAAGCACTTGCTCTTCTGCTACAACACTGAGACACAGTCGAGACCTGGACCTAGTTTCTCGAAACAAACTTAAGTTTTTACTCAAATTTCAAACCGAGTTTGACACTTTGAACAGCTGAATTTCAAACTCAACTGCATTTTTTAAATAAAAGAGCCCAAACAACTTAAGTAATCTATCCACCAAACTCAAATTGTCTACTATGTTTGAGTTTATTATCGATTTTAGTTCATTCTGGGAAAAGCATTTTCTCAAATTTGAGTAAAACTCTAACTAAGTCAAAACTCAGACTTAAGTTTGTTTCGAGAAATCGGGGCCTGGATGCCTTTGTGACGCTACCTTGTGTCGAGAAAGCGGGGCCTGTTACAGTTTCCAAAGGGGTCGGGTGTCAGACTGACAACGGACAATGTTTCTTTGTCTACTGTGTATAGATAAGATATCACGTTTTCTTGAGGAAAAGGTATACTCTACAGCTTCCTTGTCTGATGATATATGCGAGGACTCTCTCAAGTTCAGATGTACATGTATTTCAAACACAATACACAGGTCATGGCCTTAAGGATCCGTATGACAGTTCGCGTATTTTCCTTTCTGTCAGGTTATTCCATGCCAAATATACTTCCCATCAATAGTTTAGACTCACTTAAAACATTCACTATATGTTATGTATATATATATGGTTACATCGAAGATTTATTTCTCCACTAACTTGTGGGAACCAACTGCAAACTTTATGCAAATGAATTGCTCGAGGATCATGCATCAAATTGCTAGAAAAGCATGTGCAAATATCGTGCATGTAAACAGCTGCGTTTTGGTGTAAAGTTTTGTTAAGAATTCGCCAACTTTCACTGTTTTTTATCATTTATTGAACTCATGACAATAATCTTTTCAACGTTACGAATTTGATTTACTATACATCAGGTGTAAACAGCACCTTTAAACAGTATGGGATATTTTGCAAAATTGAGTTTAGAACAGTTGCCTGAGGCAAGTGGCTACATTTACACTAGTGAGTCTAAACTTTTGATGAGAAGTATATATAATTCATATAGCTAGACATGTGCAGAATGCGCCGTTAAACAGCCAACAAACATGGTAAGTGATATTTATGTTGTGCGTTTCAGTAAGTAGCACGTATTTGTGTAATCTTCTGTAACGACCTTGGATTTGACTTTCCCCTTTGTTCCACTAACTCCGCAGTCACCTCTGTCTTAACATGACTGTGACACTGCACATTCTGCTTAGGTCATTGTGTTGCTCGCCAGGATAAGTTTACAGTTGGATATATAAATACAAATAACCTAGATTTTCGTGGGAAATTCACCCCCAGTAGTAACACTGTTTGATCAGAGTGAGTATGGTTTTACGCCGCTTTTAGCAATATTCCAGCAATATCACGGCGGGGGATACCAGAAATGGGCTTGACACATTGTACCCATGTGGACAATCGAACCCGGGTCTTCAGCGTGACGAGCCACGCTTTAACCACTAGGCTACCCCACCAGCCCCTTATAATGAGTTCACAAATTCGTTCACTTGCATGTCTTAATACTGGATTGCCTCAAAATGATAATTCATAGCAACACGTCACAGAAAATGAGTGAGTGAGTGAGTTAAAATTTAAAGTCACATTAGCAGTATTTTAGCCATATCGTGACTGAGAAAGTTGTAAAATTAGAAATGAATAAAAAACAAATTTACCTGTCTGCAAAGGAAGTAAAATAACTAGAATATCACAGTCATAAATGTAAAACTAGAATGAAAATCTAAAACATCTTAACTATGAAAGACAATACAATATAAAAAAAACAGGCTATAGATTGCCAACAACTGAAGGTAGATCACCATACTAGGGACCATTGGGACTTACAGTACATTTGCATCCTGCATGAACCCAAGCTGGATTTACACCATCCCTTCAGATGTTAGCAATTTTGACAACCTAGCCATAAATTACAATACCAAATATACTGCATCTAAATATAATAGTATGTTTAAATTTACTTGAATTATTTTGGGACTTACGTATCCTCTCGGGAGGACCACAGAAAATGATCTCCCACTGCAACAGTGTCATTGTCGGGTGTACTTCTCATAATAAATTACTTAAAAGACATTGTTTGTGTATGGTGTGCCAATATATCTTAATGTGACACAATAATATTTGGAAAGACAAAGTAGTTCAATGCTGAGACGGTGAACCCCTTTAGTGAAACCAGTGATCAAACAATCAAGTGAGGTGAATCATTCCACCCTCTGCGGCTGGGACACCTGGTGGTTAAAGCGTCCGCTGGTAACGCTGAAGAGCCAGGTTCGATTCATCACATGGGCACAGTGTGTGAAGTGTATTTGTGGTGTCCCCCGATATTGGTGGAAGATTGCTAAAAGTGACGTCAAACCGTACTCATTCACTCGTTCTGGAAATCCCAGCCCAAGGCGCGTGACTTAGTACAAGGTATATTAGTACAATGAAAACTATTATATTTTAATCACATGATAATAAGCATATATCACTGACAACCTGCAGTGAATGAACGAAATGTATTTATACTGTATACTGTGCTAAACAGGTTCATTTGGGCTGTAGGGCCGCCTCAATGCTAATGGTGAACACGATACACATTTGTTACCCACTCGCGTTATTCCCGGACAAGCTGAATACCAACTTGTTCCCGCTCGAAGGATTTCATCTGGACGACAACTCTATTCCTGTTTATTCCGAGAGTAATAAACATTACTGACTGACTGACTGAGTGACTGAGTTTGGTTTTACGCCGCTTTTAGCAATATTCCAGCAACATCACGGAGGGGGACACCAGAAATGGGCTTCACACATAGTACCAATGTGGGGATTCGAACCCGGGTCTTCGGCGTGACGAGCCAACGCTTTAACCACTAGGCTCCCCCATCGCCCTATAAACATTACTGAAGCAATCGAAATGATTTCAACAATAATAATGATAATTTGTTGAAAACATCCTGATCTAATTATTACCGGGTGTTCAGCTTATATTACCAAATGAATACTTCCAAATATACGAAAATGACTTTGAAATATATCTCAAACTGAAGATCCTATCATGATTTAGTGTACGCGGTGCACGTGTCTACCAGTTGTCTGAACTTCCAAGTCCAAGTAATCTTGCTGCCATACCCCTGGTGGAATTTAAAATGAATACGCTGAAACATACAGGAAGGACTCCACAAACGTCAGGCTAAAATATCCACAGTTAAATGAAACGTGAGCACAGTGTTTATGTTTAAATTTGATGAGTTCTATATAAATACATTATTTACAATGGCATTACGTAACAATGTAGGAAAGCGACATATTAGTTATGTATCAATACATCGTTTTGAAACTAGTACCATTTTTATAATTAAAGTACCTTACCTGCCGGACAGCGCCCGTCAAATTTTTAGAGTAAGCCCGCAAGATGGGCAGAGAAAACACTCAGTTGGGGCAATGA